TGAAGCGCTCGCCATCCCGACGCCGCGCGCTCGCTTCCACCGCCTGTCGCATCTCTGTCTGACTGTGCGAAGCCCGGCTCACTCGAGCCCTCCTGTTCCCCCCCCCCCCCCCGCGAGCGTTGCACGACCGATACGCGTATCTACCGCGCGATATTATTCGGAAAATTTGGAAAAGAACGATTATGCGGGTAAAGTGTAAAATTGCGTTAATTATGTAAATCAATTTCGGGGAAGTTACACGCGCCACATGGCGCTTTACGTGAATTATTAACGCGTTTATGGAAACATAATTTTACGCAAAATAATTGTTTTAAACGCGCTTGATGCCGATCAGCGAAATTTATGGCGTGCGCAACGATTGTATATATGTATAGATATACAGTATATATAGAAAATGTTTAACGAAATTTTGCGCAGACTATATAACGTTATTGCGTTATCCCGTTACTTTGCGAGTTGCATGGCGAATGTATTATAGAACTCTGTAGCAGTCACAAGCAGAATTTGTAATTTTGTATGAAAAAATTTCGCTCCAACTAATTAAAATTGTTCTTAAGTAATTAATTTATCCATTTTTGTTAATTCGCCTCCCTCATTTTTTAATAAAACAATTACCGAAATTATTTCGCAATATCCTGTGTGTGCCTATCCGTCCATCTCTTTTCGCGTATCTTCGCCCTCTGGCGCTTTGTCTGACCGATGCGCGACATATCTACCGCCAGCTGCGGCTGACTATACACAGGATCGCGCTACTTATCGAGTTACGCCATAGTCGGAAAAATGAAAGAAAAGGTTAAACCCGAGAATCTATTTATCTTAAAAATTAAAAAAAATAATATTAAAAGAAAATTGAAGAAAAAGACTTATAAATATCGTAAACAAGCAAAGTAAAATCAAAATTTCTTTAAAAAAAAAATTGTTATTATAATAAGATCCTAAAATACGAGAGTTAAAAATCTTCTGCAAAATTGTTATTATTATTAATTGTGTTATTAATATAATTGTGTATAAAAATGGACAACTATTCGAATTTTTATAATAAATATTCACTTTTTAAGAACAATTTTTTTTTACAGAAGATTTTTCATCCATGCTGATATAGCAGAATTACATTTGGAAATTTTGCGCTCTCCTGAGTTTTCGCCGATCTTCTCATTGCCGCCATTTCCGGCGAACCTACCGACGAGAAGGAGAAATCGACCGGATCTTCCCGATCTTGCCACCGTCAGAACGGAGAAAAGATGTTGGGTGGAGAAGTAAGGAAAATGTGGGGGTGACGATATTGGCAATTTCGCTGTTGCATTTTCATTTCGTGCCGTTAACGTCGTCAGCTACGAAATTTTGCGGCTCCCCCTCGCGGCTGAGTGGCCGGGTGGCTTGGAAAAGAGGACGAAAAGGGGTAGGAGTAGTGAAAACAGATTTCTCCGAGTGTCGTTCGTGCTTCCTGCATAAATTTCCATCGACGTAATCGCGTGAAGGTCGAGACCGACGCGTTTCCGCGACGGTTTCCTTTTGTCGTTTCTCGTAAATGTGGAAATTTCGCGCGAATAAGTTTCAAGAATTGCGCGAAAGCACGATGTGTTTCATTAAAAATAATTAAATTTTAAAGTGCAAGACAATAAAATAATACTTTTAACGTATAGACAGGATATGATATTTATGTTCGAGAAAAATTTATCTCTCATCATTACGTCTAGCCAAACACAGCGAGTTCTTTCGCGTAACTCGAGTAAGGATAAAGATATATGTGTGTGATGAAACGTGCGATATAATCCTCGAGACGTGCAGAGAATAAGAAAATGTTTAACGAGATGTTTGTTCGACTTGCTATTTGCAGAGCACTCCTTATCGCCGCTCACGGAGAGAGCGAAGACTTCCGGCGCGGAATTAAAGTTGCAGGAAGAGCTCTCGACAGCGAGAAAAGCGGATGATAAGTGTGAAGTAAAGCCGGATGTATCCGCCGTGAAATTGGAATGTGAGTCATTGTGTACTCGGTGTCAGAATTATCAAGATACTATTTGTTCGAAAAAAAGAGTCTTTTCCAATCGTGTGCAGCGTGTCGTGAAATCTCGGATGCCTTTTTAGCTTTTATACAAAGTGTTTGATTTGAAATACAATCAAATAGCTGGGAAGCAGCAGAGAGAGACAGATATTTAAACAAATTTGGAATTTTATGATTATCTCAAAATTAATTCATTTTTTATTAAGGTTCTACGCATCTCCAGAAATACGTCATTTTCGAGATATTTTATTAAAAATGAAGCACTTTGCGTAAATTATACAAAAAATGAGAATAGTTTAAAACGTAAAATATTGTATATTGTATTAAATTTAGTAGTTTATTCACCGCAACACGATTGAAAAAATATTTTTAAAACACTATTTCATCTTTATAGAAACAGGAGGCACACGCAAAACTCGGTCCATTTAACGAGCTGCCCAAGATAGCGCGTTAATCGAAGTGCGTTTAAAGTGACGCCGATAATTTTGGATCCCCGTAATTTTATGCAATTATGCATGTTACACCCCCCCCCCATCCTTCCCCCTTTCTCTCGCTGGCCGGATAGAGTTTGGGGGTAGAATTCAGCGGTCGTCTGTCCTCCACCCACTTCTCTCTCGTTTCACGGCGATGCGAGTGCGCGTTAATTCTCATTCGTTGCGTGTTTACATTATTATTAAAGCGTGTTTACACGGCCGACTAAATCGACGCCGCCGCCGTAGAATTTCAGTTCGCAATCCTGCGCCGCGATGCCGAAAAAAAGCAGCAATTAATCTTACAGCGATGACGCTAACATATTTAATCTCTACGCGTTTCGTATCAAATTATCACATAAATAATGCGAACCTTTCAATCCAGGCGTGCGTATATTTATTTTTATACGTATTGTTTGGAAATTTATTCCTCGTTTGGGAATTTAATTTGCATGTCAATATTATTTTTTTTTTTTAAACCTTTCGCACATCGGATGGAGACTCAAAGAAAATTCGAAACGATTTGCATTTATATTTTCTTTTTTGTGTATTATGTATCGTTTTGAAATTTATTCCTCGTTTAGCAATTAAATTCATATCACTATTGTATGTTTTTTTTCGATATTTTACGCTTTTAATTATAATAACAATTTCTGAAAATTTTATCACCGACAAAATGCGATAATTGATTTTAGCGAGCGAGCTGTCGGCTAAAAGATCGAAAAAGATTCAAAAAATAAAATAATTAATAGTCTGCACTGGGGGCAATCACACAACAAATTCGCAATAAGCTGCGTTAACGCGATAAACAATATTTCTACATCGGGACAAGCGTATTTTGTAAAATAAAATAGCTAATTCTGGGTACGCTAATTAATTATACTCGAAACAGCGAGGCGTCCCCTCGCGAACATTTTCATAGTGTGCGAAATCGCAAATAACTCGATCGGTGAATTTATTAATTCGATTAATTTAATGCATCGTTTCCGCATCGGCGATACTCTCCTCCTCCCTTTCTCTCTCTCTCTCTCTCTCTCTCGCGCCATACGCGCATGCTAATGCGTTATTATCGCATGGCACAATTCGCCGTAAATTATTCCGTCGAAAATTATCTTCGCTGGACGATCGGCCGCGAGACATTCGGCCGGAAATCGTTATCGCGGAGGATAAGCTAGAATTAGTCTGTCTGCAAGTTGCACAGACAGGTCGAGAGAATCGCGATTTCGTAAATTGATGCGTATTAAAGAATACTGCAGATGTAAAGCGAATATTTCATGCAAACATTACAAATTAAAAGCTGTTATTTATATTACGCGCGTATATGCGATCATCAGTTTTCCAAATCGAAGCCGAAAAATCTAAAAATCAATTTAAGGAAGCCGCGAGATTCTGGTCAAGATCCATCCTGACTGATCGGATTCCGTCGTTCTCGAGAACAAATAAAGAGTTCACCCGGTCGTCGGCACTTGAAAAGCTTCCTAAGACTGCGCCTTAGTCTACTTTGAAAGGCTCGCAAGCTCCCAAGTCTCGCACACGGGTCGCCGGCCTGAGCTTAATACGTACACTTATCACGCCGCAATGATCTTGTTAGCAACTTTGGTTCATCGGCGTCTGGGAGCGAGGCAGGGAGCTTTCGAGCTTAGAGACGGTTAAACGCGCTTTATTGGCTTTAGAAGCCTCGAAAAAGCTTACTTTGTTCCAGAGCAATGCAAACTTCGTCTCTTGGGAGTAAAAATTTCTTCATTTTGTTCGGAAATCAATCGGAATGAGTATAATTTTAAAACTCGTGCAAGATCAGTAAGAAAAAATATAAAATAATCTGTATCTTAAAAAGAAACGTATTTTTGAACGAGAATTTAGATGTGCGTATGTGTTTGAAAAAATAACCGGAAAAGACAAATATCAAAAAAATAAAAAAATACTGGATATGTTTCGAAAAGATTCGGATACAACGTGAAAAGTGAAATCAACAGAAAAAAGTGAGAAGAACTTTTCGCAAATTAACTAAATTATTGCACGAGAAGGAATTTATAATAAATTAAATCAAACATCTCAAAATGTTATCAAGTGTGTATCTAAGATTCTATACACAAAGTTAAGTGTACACATTTATGTACACTATGGCGTCTTTGTGTATGCATTGCTTGTTTCATCCCACTCGCAGCGAAATTAATTCACAGTTAAGTTTACGATAAGACATATGTTTGTTCCGTAATATAACGTAAACAGAGCGTCTACTCTTGCGAAGAAGGGAAACTCATGCTTTTCCAAGCATTCTCGGTCAAATTTCCAGACAGAAATAAAACATACGTAAAGTATGTTAAAAATTTAGAATAAATCATAAATTTTTTAATAAAAAAATTAAGAAAAAAAATATCAAGTTTCAAAAAATAAACCAAATAAAACTAAAATAACATTCTCTAAAGAAATTTGAGCAAACAGTAGACACCCTGTGCTAATTTCCAGAATGAAATCCAATAATTAACAAATCAATTGACCGTACAAATATTTCAAGTTTTTTCACTCACCCACATCCTTCGAGCCGCCCCATGTTCCCAATTGAGCTTGACGAGCTAATCGGGACAAAGCATCGACATAGACACGTGAAGCCGCCGCAGCGCCTGAAACAGAAAAATAAATATTATCAATTGTAATTCTATTTTATCGTAGATTGATTCATTATTACATGAACATCATATTAACATCCATCTATAAATTAATTGTACCTATTATATTATCACAAGGGATTGTTTATTACTATAAAAATATTGACGAATGATTCAAGCAAAGTGGTATTTATCGGAGTATTGAGAGATTAAAATACTCGCTTGTACATTTCCTTCTCCATCCGACACAAGAGACATGGACAGGATTCATTCGCGAATGAGCAATTGTGCCGGCAAAATAAAAAAGTCGAACAAGCCACTCATGGTTATCAGCGAAAAGCGATCCCTCTTCAGGCCGGCTCTCGTTAGAGGTTATGGGGCAGAAAAATTGGGACGTTCGGGAAAGAAGCGGCAGGAAAGACGAGAAGTGGAGAAGCGCGGGGATGGCAGTATCGGTGGAAATTGTGCGCTCCACCCCCGGGCGAATCCCTCATAAATAGCGGGCTTTTGCGCTACCTAACAGACTCGGAGGACGAAAAAAAAAAGAAAGAGAGAGAGAAAAAAGAGTGGGGGTTGATGAGAGAGAAGAGATGGGGAGGGATGACCGGTCGGACACGAAGCCGTACGTGCTGTATCTCGGAACGAACGGACTCGTGGGGGTCTGCGTTTTATGGGGCGCACCTTCGCTGCGCGATCATCTCCCCCCCTTGCTTACCGAGAAATTGAACCGCTCTCGAAGCGCGTTTGTTATTTCATTAGAGCCGCCTTTCATCGATTCGCCCGGAAACGCAAAATCGTGACGCGTGTCTGTAAAGTCTCGAAATTTATATATATTAAAAAAAATATTCCGAAACGTTATTTTTCTCTGCTTCGGGGAAATCGCGTGTCTTCAATTAAAACCTCCGAAACGAGGAAATTCGGGCTTTTCGCGCGGCTAAACGTCGAATTTCCTCTCGACGGATCGCAAATATATAGGATCGCAAATAGGAGCGCGGGATGCAGAGTGAATTTATGCTTCATTCGGACACGTTAGGTATACACGAGAAAGAAACGAGTGGAGTGTAAATTATGGCACTCTTGAAGCTCGTTCCACCTCCTCCTTTTCCCTTTTCGCTCGCGCCCATTCCCGTCCACCGACCTCAAGCACAGCGCTCGTTTCCGGAGAGCGGCTTTTATTTATTATTTCATGCCGCTGAACATACTAGTTTTTGGAGAGGAAATTTTTATTTCAAAATCGCACCGCAACTTTAACCAGCTGAGCTCAGTCTATCAAACTTTTTAGCGATGATTAGCACCTGTAGTCTTTTATCAAACTCAAACTGTGAAATGTTAAGAAGAATTCGAATATTCAAGAATACGTTTCATCGATATAGAAATGTTTACTTGAAAAAATGTCATTCTAGTATAATCGTCGTGTTGTGAACAGTTGCGAACAGTTAACAAATAAAATTTCAGGATTTAAATTTCGCTTATAAAGAGAAAAATTCTCCTGTTTATCGTAATTTCTGTTACTGCATTTATTAATCATAATTGCATGCGGTATTTTAGCATTTGTATACATTATTGTCCTGTCTTCATTGTAATTACCGTTTTAAAAATACGACAGAATGAGAATAGCGGAGTTCGTCCGCGGGGTTCACAGTTTTGCCGGGCAATAATTTCGCTGCGAGGACTGCGCTTTATATCCGAGTTTTACGATACAGAAATTTGCGACGGCATCGAAACTCGCACGTCGACAGCTGTCGCCGCCATTTTTCGCGTATGTTTCGTTGCAGCCTGCAGCGAGACATACATGTGAACCAAAAAAAAAAAGAAGGAAAAAAAACCAGTATATACGATTTCCCCTGCAGCTCTGTTTCTCCTCTTCTACTTTTTATTGCGGAACAAAGTCTGAGAGGAAATTTAACTGTGTTGGAATTCCTACACTGTTAGTTTGAATTATCTTAATTTTTTTTTTCCACCGTCTCATTTCTTTCTCACGTCTCGCCAATAAAATTACATGGACTGGAAAACCGACGCCACTTCCGTGACACCGCGAAAACTTTTATTTGCAAAATATTTTATTCAACAATTATTGGAACGTTTATATTGCAAGGGATCGTATCAATTTTCCATTCATTATTTAAAGGCACTACTTGTACAAACAATACAAACATATAAAAATGCAAAATTATTTCAAATATTTCGAACATTTCGACAATTATTCAATAATAAATAAAATATCTTTTATATTTTTAAAATTTCTATATGCCTTCGATATTTACTATTTGTCCAACGTATAAACACGTTCTGTAAACATTTTTTTTACATTTTTATTAGCAATCTGTATAATTATTACTTTTATACCGCGTATTCCAACTTGCTGTTGGAATTGCGCATGCAAATACTGCGAGCTTTAAGCGCCGCATATAATAGTGTATTATTAAAACACGGAATATCGAATATAACGGAACACGCGTTATAATCGTAAGCAGAAATATCCAACGTTTCGCACCCTCTCGCCGGCCGGGAATGTGTAAACCGTTCGGAACATAATCGGGGCGCGGGATAGACGGTGGAAATGCTGACTCGCCCATCCCCTTGTTTGCGGCTGTTCCGGCAACCCCCGAGCGACTCCGCGGGGATTGGAAGCAGGCCGAGTTCGTCACCGCGGCGACGCAAACCCCATTGTCCGCCGGTCATCCCTCGTCTTCCCCCAACTGTCGGCAAACTTCGGACTGTCCCTGTATCAACCCTTCACCGCAACGTTCCTCGTCCCTCTCGCTGAGACATCCCGATATCGATATACACGTATATCGAGTTCGAGCGGAGTTCCCACTTGCTCGCGCGAGACGAGAATTCAAGACGTTTTCATATCTGAGAGCACAAACAGTATCGGACCACTCGGGGCTTTGTCGTATCGCGACATTGTGCAATTCGGAATGTCGGGAAACTCATTCGGGCTTAGCCACTGGAAATTTAGTGTCTTTGATAATTAAAGTTGGAATTTTCAAGCGCTAACTCGTGCAGAAATCGAAATGGAATTTAGTTTCCTCCAGATTTAAGGATCTTCCGAGAGTTTTCTTTAAGTTTCCAAACAGTCGATTAAATTGCCATGTTAGATCAAAGCCTACGAAATGAATTCGCGCTGTAATTATTTTCCAAAAGCGACGAGGCGGTGCTCTAAGCGAGAACTCGGAAATGCTTAACGCGCAATTAAGGAGTTGCTTTGAAGGCCGACTTCTTAGCCCAATGCGTCGTTTATCAGCGCTTGCGAGCTTGCTTAGAGGGGACAGAGATAATAAATGAACGGCGGAGTTTCTAAGCGGCTTAATTGCTTATGAGGGTGTTTACCAGAGCCCTCGGGTTGCCGCCGCTAAACGCAACAGGCACGGGCGAGCATTACCAAGATTTCGCGCGGCATTAATGTAGATTAATGGAAAACTTCGCTGCCGTTTTTAGCTGCAACTTTTCCTATTACTTTATCGACAGTTTTCACGACGGGCTATCGGCTGTTATTAATGGAGCCGTGCCCTGACTTTCGCGTCGTTCTGTTTCTTTTCCCAGAGAAATCCCCATCTAAATGGAACTTGTTAGTTATCGCAAACTTAGGTGGGGGCTTTGATTTTTTTATTTTCCCTATTTATTTTGCGCAAGTTGGCTGAGAGAGAAGCGGCGGGGAAACACATTTTATACAAGCTTATCGAAATAATTTAGTGGGCCGCAAGCGGACGTTATTGCAGAAATAAACTGTTTGAGTTTTTATAATAAAAATTTACTTTCCCGCTTCACCGTTTCATCATCCGCTTTCACGGCGCAAAATATTGTAAATATCTCGACGATATAAAAATCGTGTATAATTTTATCTACTCCATCGATCCTTGTTATTCTCGCGTTTGCACCCCCTTAGGGACCTTTCGGAACGACAAACGTCTTTAGCGAGCGGCGTTAATGTCCTTCAACCCTCGCCAATCTTGCGTCGGTGTCCCGAGGGGTAGTTTTAATATGAGTCTCGCGGTGCTCTCAGCGTCGTCAACGGCGACGCCACGATCGGATGCCACCACGTCGGAAAATGCAGCGGAACGACGCAACGGAGAGGTTTGCAGCGACCCCCGAATTCCAGTCGTCTCTGCTCGCCCCCCTCCCCCCCATTCCCTTCCCCCCAACAGTCGATCACTATCCCGCACGTTCTGTTGGAATATATCGTTCGCAATAACGCCCGATCAAATCGTCGTTTATGGGAAATGGTCTTCGAGTGATCTCATCATCGAGAGCGCCAATTATATTCGAGGCTTCTTCAACGGCGCGCCGTGCTGAAGATTCTAGCGTAAGGATGCCAAAGTCACGCTTCTTCTATTATAAAAGAAATTCGCTAAAACAAGCGAACGCGCGAGAAAAACA